CCACACTTGTCCGGGTCCTCGGACGGCGGGCTTGTCCTGCCCATGGAGCGGGGTGCTGGTCGTGCCTCTGAGACTCAGCTGGGTGCTGGGAGTCGCTGTGCCCCATCCCGCGGGTCCCCGCAGTCCTGCTTTCTGCCCCGCCTCAGCAGTCTATGGTCACCCCCTCGGGCCGCTTTGCTTCCTGTGGCGGAGGTAGGGCTGTTCACATCTCGTCACTGGACGTGGTCCCTTAACTAGTCCCTTCTGATGAAGCTCTGAGCGGGTTCCCGCCGAGTCCCGGGACCCTCCTGTCTAGCTGCCTTCCCGAGCTCAGCCTCTCCTGTTGTGGTCGGCTACAGGGCCTGCTGCACTGGTGGGACCTCCTTTGAGGGCACAGGCCCAGGGCACAGCCTGTAGTGTGTTCTTCAGCAGTTCCCTATTTTTATCCTTAAAAATGATTTTTTAAAAACTGGTGAGTGCCTGAGATGTGTCTGCTTGTGCGTTTACGGTCGTGGACTGGAGCAACCTGGTGGTCACTTTGGCGTGCCCCTGGGCTGTGGTGGGAGGCCCTCCAGGCCAGGCAGACCCTTCTGCTTGTGGCCTCCTTTGACCCCCATCCTGGGCCTCATCCAGCGCCTCCTGGGCGTGCCTGCCGGGGTTTGCAGAGCCGCTCCCCGCCCCCTGCAGGTGTCAGCTGGACACCAGAGCACTTAGTGTCTTGGTGGGTGCTGCCTTCGGCTGCCCGACCCCTGCCCACCCTGATGAGTGGTTTCTGGTGGTTTCTATTTGTAAAGGTTTTTCTGACGTGGACCATTTTTAAAGCCTTGGTTGACTCTGTTCCAGTATCGCTTCGTCTTTTTGCTCCTTGGCCACGAGGCGTGAGGGGGTCTTAGTTCCCGACAGCTCCTGCGTTGGAGGGTGAAGTCCCCTCCGAGAGGTTTGAAGGTGGTCCCTCGGTGTCCTGCAGGTTCCTGGCTGGGCTTGGGGATTCTTTCCTTCCCGTCAGGGCTGTTTCTCCCCTCAGGTTCTTGTGATTAGTCTGGGATTGGGTGGTCTTGCTCGTCAGCCCTGGGACTGGTCCTGCACTGACCCTGCCTAAGAAGTGTGCCAACTGTGAGCGACCGCACCCCAGGCTCTTCCCAGATGGACACATATCCCACGTCTAGAACAGAAGCCCCTCGTGTGTCCTCGAGTCCTGTCCACTCCCTGGTTCCCCCTCCTGTCCTCACCTGCTTCTGACCTTGCCCAGGGCGCCTGTGCCCCTTTAGGGTCTGGCTGCCTTGCTCCCCCGTTTGCTGGCGGCTGCGGGATGTGCCCGTGGTCAGCGCTTCTGCCCCCGGTTTGGCCCGCGCGCTGCCGCGGCGCTCTGCACCTGCCTGGCTCCTGGGGCTTGCGTGCCTCTCATCTTGGTCTTTCTAAAGTCCGACCATTGTCACTGCCCGGAAGTCCGCTTTCAGTCTTTGGTCAGCCGGTTGAACCCTGTCCTTGCTGTCTGCCACCCAGTTTGGGTTTTGTTTCTATGATTCTGTTGTGGGCAGGGCGTGGGGCCTGGGTGCCAGCCGCTCGGGTGTCTCTGCCGCCACGCAGGTGCAGGGGTTGGCTGCCCTTTCCCGGGAAGGACCTCCACCCTGAGGGGGTTCTTCCTGTTGTTCAGTGGGGAAGCATCCCCTCATCTAGTACAGAGAAGTGGTGACGGAAGGTGATAGTTTATTTTGTCTTTTAGATCTTTGAGAGTTGTTGGTTAGCGTGAGAGGTTTCTAGCTTCTCGGGTTGTTTCATACTTGGGGTGTCGGAGTCTGCGTCCTGGAGGGGCCCTGGGCTGAGGAGGTGCCTCAGGCAGGTGGGTGATGGTGCCGGTCCCTCCCAGTAGGCAGCCCAACCGCTCGTGCACCTGCGGCCCCGTCCCACCTCCAGGACAGCCCTGGGAGCCGAGCCCCGTTTCCTAGTCACTCCGGGCGTGTTTACGTGGGAAAGGTGTCTTCCCTTTGGGGGCCACCTCCTTCCTCTTGTCCCCCGTCGCTGGGGGTTTCCTGCCTTCCAGGCCTTCTGGGGAGTAGGAAGCTGGTCTCCCACAGTCCAGTGTGTGCAGGTTCTGGGTCTGGGGTCAGAGTGAGGCCGGACTCTCTGCGTCCCCTGAATCTGCTCCCCAGACCCGGCCTGCAGGGCGAGTAGGAAGTGGCTGTGGGAGCTCCTCTAGGCCCTGGATCCTGGCCACGTGGGGACACTCCCCAGTGGCACCCCCAGCCTGCCACGGGCTCCCTGCGTCCAGGCTCCTCTCTTTTGCTGCCCGCTGCCCCCTTCCCAAGTGCTCAGGCCCCTCTGGGCAGGGGGAGGCAGGGTGGGCACTTCATCTGGATGTTTTCGTAGCAGTGATCTCACCCCGGGCAGCGCTCCCCTGCTCCTCCCCGTCTGAGCGCTCCTGCTCGGAGCCTCCCTGCAGGACCGTGCTTCACGCCTGCCCAGTGCCCGCTGGCCATCCGTGCCAGGGCCAGCAGGGGGAGCGGCCGCAGCCCCTCGTGCAGGCAGGTGACAGGCGGCCGGAGGAGGGTGAGAGTGGGCGTGGCCTCCTGCCAGGCGTTGCGTGGCGCCGTGAGCCCCCCAGGTGGGCTGCCTGTGTGGGACAGAGGGGCTGTGGGCATCGGGAGCAGGCTCTGGGCAGTGGGTGGGGTGGGCGCCTCTTCCCACGCTGCTCAGGCTGGGAGGCCCGACCCGGGTCCTGCCCAGCGTGTCTCCAGCACGCTGACCGAGCCCCAGCGTTTGTTTCCTGGGCGTCCCGTCAAGAGGAGGGCAGGGCTTCTGGCATTCACAGGGCCCGTTGCTTTCCAGGAGGACGGTCTGGGAGACCAGCCAGTAGTGGCTGGCGGGCATCCAGGCCTGGGCTTACCAGGGCCGTGGGGCCTTACTCGCCAGCAGCCCCACCTGCAGGGCAGCCAGAGAGTCGGCGGAGGTCAGGGAGCGGCGGGTGTGGCCTAGGCCCCACGGCGAGGCCGTCAGTGGACCGTCGGACTGGGGGAGGAGAGGGCCACCCGGCACCCCATCCTGCCCCTGGGGGGAGGAGACACGGGGGTCGTCCTGGGTGGCAAAGTCGGAAGCGGGGCTCTGCTCCTGGTTTGCTCCGGTGACCTTGGGCAGGTTGCTTAACCCCCAGGGTCCCAGTCTCATCTGCACTGGAGGCGGAGGGCATGCCCTGGAGGCTTCCCTGTGGGCAGGATGCTTGTCAGGCTGGCGTGGGGCGGCTGGGGCTGCCTCGCTCTGCCTCCAGGTGCCCCTCCTGCAGCCCGGGAGGGCCCGGTTCACACCTGTCGGGGCCACACCTGGAGCGCCAGGTGGTCCTGCCGGGTTGGTTGGACCCAGGCTTGAGGGGCAGTGGCCAGCGTGAGTCTGCGGTCTCAGTGACTCACCCGCTGTGCTTCAGGCCCTGGGGCGTGGCGGCCAGGTAGTGGGCATCATGAGGGGCCCATGGCTCCCTGGTGGGCCGGAGGTGGGCTGGGATGCCCCCGTCTCTGCTTGAAGGGAGGGGCACCTGTTGCCAGGCCCCGACGAGGCAGGGCTGCCCAGTGTTTCCTGGGCGTTCCCACGTGGAGGCTGAAGGATGGGCAGCCTGAGGGCTGGGCTCAGCCTCCCCGGCTCCGGGCTCTGTGGTAGTCCAGGCCGAGCTGGACCTGCTGCTGTGAAATCCGGGTGAAGCACCTGAGGGCTTCTCTCACTGCCTCCTGCCCTCCCGGCTGCCAGGAGAGCCCCCCCACGAGGCCGGGGGCCCTGCCTAGCTGTAGGGCCGGCCACCTTGGCCTTTTGAGGCCTGAGCTGGGGGGGGGGAAGGACACTCGGGACCTCAGCCAGGACCTGTCAGCTCACCCAGCAGCGGCCCTGTGGGAGCGGTCCTGGGGGCAGAGGGCTGGGAGAGTCGCCCAGGGCCTCTGTTCACAAGAGACCCCTTCCTTGGGGGGTGTCAGGGTCAGCCTAGCGGGGACAGCCCCCAGCCCACTTCTCTGACCTGTCCGTCGGCCGGGCCCTGGGCATTGTGGAGTGGGCGGTGGAAGAAGGCAGCAGCGTAGGGTGGGGCGGCTGGGCTGGCTGCCGGGGCCTTTCCAGCCCCTGGTGGCTTTTGCCAGGCCGAGCAGTGGCCCCACACCAGCGGGCCTTGAGCTGCTGGCAAGCTAGGCTGGCCCCTTCCCCAGCCACCCCTGCCAGCGGGGAGCCGTGCTGGGGGCAGGAGACAGCTGGCAGGCTGGAGCGAGGCCTCCCGGCCACCCCGCACCCCGGGTCTGGGCACATTCCTGAGGACCTGCTGGGCTGCCCTGGCCCTGGGCGGGGGAGGGGCACGCAGGGAGGGGCTCCGGGCCCCGGCCGCCACCTCCTGCCTGGCTCCACGCCCAGGGCGCCCAGGCCTGCTGTGGTGGGGGGGCAAGCAGCCAGGACCTCGGGACCCCTCTCCCAGGACCTGAAGCTCTGGGGGGGCCGGGAAGCCTGCCCGCATCTGGCGGCAGCTGCCATCAGCCTTGGCGGGCTGGTATTGAAAGGGCGAGCCTGCGAGGGCCATGTGGTCAGGCCGGGCTGGGCAGGAGGGGGCTGGGCTCTGGGCAGGGAGGGGGAGAGCGCAGACCCAGAGGGAAGGGCAGGGCAGGGCAGGGGGCTGGGGAGCCAGAAGCGGTTGAGACTGGATCTTATAAATAGCCCGCTGCACCAGCGCCTCCATTTCTGACCTTTTGTTATGTAAATGTGGCCAGCCTGGAAGGGCCTTGCCCAGGCCTCCTGCCACCCTGCCCGCCCGCCGCGAGCTGCGTGCCTGTCCCCCCACTCCCCCGACCGAGGCGGCCCCTGGAGCACCCTGTTTCCTGTGGGGGTGCGGCCGAGCGCCCCCCCACCTGCCTCCTTCCTGCCACCGGCCTGACTGCAGGCACTGTGGTCGCTGCCTCCTGCCCAGCTGTCCGGACGGCCCGTCCCCGCCGCAGATGGGAGCCTGGCTCTGGCCCCCCGAGCTGCTCCTCCCCCCTTGAGAGGCCTGCGTGCTAACCGTGTCCACCTTCTCCGCAGGTGACCAGGCATTGATGCACCCCCAGGGAGGCCGCGCACTCGAGGAGGCCATCCCCCCTGGCTGCTGCTCACATGGTTTCTGGGCCCCTGGCACTCCGGTAGGCTGGGGGGGCTGGGGGTGCGGCAGGGGGCGGGGTCTGTTCCTCCTCCTGGGGACTCGGGCAGCTGAGCGCCCGCCTGCGTGCTGGCCGCCGGCCTTTGTGTGCGGGCAGCGCTGGCAGCGTGGGGGAGGAGGAGCTGTGGGCTCACGGGCCCTCCTGCCCTCGGTGTCCCCAGCCAGGTGTTGTGCGCCTTGGGCTCTTTGTCCCCTGGCTGGCCAGGGCAGGGAGGGGGGCTGGCTCCCGCGACCCGAGTGCCGGCACACGTGGGCATTGCGCAGAGCCTTCCCGGGTGGACAGGGATGCGGGGGCTTCTCTGTCTTTTCAGACAAGGGCAGGTGCAGGACAGGGAAGGACAGCAGGTAGCGACCCCTCCCGAGGGGGCAGGGCGGGGACCCTGGATCCCGGCTGGAGAAAGGCTGGGGCAGTGCGCTTCTCTCCTGGGCCGGGCCCTGAGCACAGGGACAGGAAGGCCCCTGTAGGTGGGCACGCGCGCCTGCCAGAGCAGCCGGAAGGGCAGGGCCGTGCCTGGCACAGCCGCCTTGGGGCTTTCTGCGCAGTGGTTCCCAGTGACGGTTCCTCCCAGCGCGTCTTGGCCAGCCTGCGGGGTTTACCAGGCTCAGACCCTGTGGTACCCAGCTTGGCCAGGCCGCCTCTCCAAGGCACAGGCCGGGGGGACGGGGGCAGCGTCACGTGACGTTGCTGGAGGCTGCGGGTCCGACCAGCCCACGTGGTATTTGAGGAGAAGGCGGCTTCAGTGCTCTCTGGGCGACTCTGCATGCAGATCCGATTTCCAGCTGGAACGGAACGGCGGACCGCTGCGCGCCCACGCAGGCGATGTGTCCCCCAGGGGCTTCTGTCCCCTCATGATCCCTGCTGCTCAGCTGCGGGTCCGTCTGGGCGTGGGGTCACCTTCCTCTAGGGGACGGAGCTCCGGTTTGTCTGTCCTGCGTGTGTGCCCCCGTTGTCCCTGCTTTTTCAAGTGTGCAGATGGGCTGGCGGCAGGCGGGCAGCCGGGGGGAGGCCCCAGGAGGGCCCCCACTGACATGTGCGTGTCTGCTCGTGCCTGCAGGTGGTGCGTGTGGGCAGGGCGCGGGGACATGGGGCCCGACATGGAGCTGCCCAGCCACTCGAAGCAGCTCCTGCTGCAGCTGAACCAGCAGCGCACGCAGGGCTTCCTGTGTGACGTCATCGTCATGGTGGAGAACGCCGTCTTCCGCGCCCACAAGAACGTGCTGGCCGCCAGCAGCGTCTACTTCAAGTCCCTGGTGCTGCACGACAACCTCATCAGCCTGGACACGGACATGGTCAGCTCCGCGGTGTTCCAGCAGATCCTGGACTTCATCTACACGGGCCGCCTGCTGCCGGGCGAGCCGCCGGCCGAGCCCAACTTCAGCACGCTGCTCACCGCCGCCAGCTACCTCCAGCTGCCCGAGCTGGCGGCCCTCTGCCGGCGCAAGCTCAAGAGAGCTGGCAAGCCCTTTGGCTCCGGGCGGGGTGGCGCTGGCCTGGGGCGGCCCCCCCGCAGCCAGCGGCTGTCCACGGCCTCGGTCATCCAGACCCGCTACCCGGGCCTCGTGGACGGGCGCAAAGGGGCCCACGCCCCCCAGGAGCTCTCCCAGGCCAAAGGCTCCGACGACGAGCTCTTTCTGGGTGGCTTGAGCCAGGAGGGCGCACACGGCCTGGGCCGGCCGGTCTGTCCCGGCAGCGGGGAGGCCGGCCTGAGCGGCTGCAGTACCAACGGGGGTGGCGGCAGCTGCGAGCAGGAGCTGGGCCTGGACCTGTCCAAGAAGAGCCCCCCGGTGCCCCCCGCCACCCCCGGGCCCTCCCTCACCCCAGACGACCCAGCCCAGCTGAGTGACAGCCAGGAAGGCTCGCCCCTCTCGACCTCTGCCCCTCCCGTCGCCAACAGTGCCTCTTACAGCGAGCTGGGGGGCGCCCTCAGTGAGCCCATGGATCTGGAGGGGGCGGAGGACAACCCGCTGTGCCTGCTGGAGGGGCCGGGCGGGCCGCCGCCCCGCAAGAGCCTCCGGCACTCGGCCCGCAAGAAGGAGTGGGCCAAGAAGGAGCCCGTAGCCGCCTCCCCGTTTGAGCGGAGGGATGTGGCGCCCAAGGGCCCGTGCCCGGGGGAGGACGCCGAAGGGCTGGGCGACAGGGTCCCCAATGGCGTTCTGGCCGGCAGCGCGGCGGCGGGCCGGCCCTTCGGGGAGCCCCCGTACCCCTGCAAGGAGGAGGAGGAGAACGGCAAGGATGGCAGCGAGGACAGCGCGCAGAGCGGCAGTGAGGGCGGCGCCGCCGGCGCGCCCTACGTGTACCGGCAGGAGGGCTACGAGCCGGCGCCCTACGGCGACAACCTGTACGTGTGCATCCCTTGCGCCAAGGGCTTCCCCAGCTCGGAACAGCTCAACGCGCACGTGGAGACGCACGCTGAGGAGGAGCTGCTGCTCAGGGAGGAGGGCGGCGCCTACGAGGCGGGCAGCGCGGGCGCCGACGAGGAGGCGGAGGACCTGTCGGCGCCCAGCGCGGCCCTGGCGGCCGGGCCGCGGCCCTTCAAGTGCTCGGCCTGCGAGAAGACATACAAGGACGCGGCCACGCTGCGGCAGCACGAGAAGACGCACTGGCTGGCGCGGCCCTTCCCCTGCGGCATCTGCGGGAAGATGTTCACGCAGCGCGGCACGATGACGCGCCACATGCGCAGCCACCTGGGCCTCAAGCCCTTCGCGTGCGGCGAGTGCGGCATGCGCTTCACGCGCCAGTACCGCCTCACAGAGCACATGCGCGTGCACTCGGGCGAGAAGCCTTACGAGTGCCAGCTCTGCGGGGGCAAGTTCACGCAGCAGCGCAACCTCATCAGTCACCTGCGCATGCACACCTCCCCCTCCTAGAAGCCAAAGACCCGGCGGGCCCCGCCCCCCACAGCTTTAATCCGCGGCCCTTCCGCGGAGGGCCGGCCTGGCTCTGCGGGGGGCGGTGCCGGAGGGAGGGGTCCGCGCCCTCCCTCCCCGAGCCAGGGGTAACCGCTCAGTGGCGCTGGGACAGCGGGCCCCCACCGCCTACCTCTCCACAGCTAAAGAGCCTTCCGGGCCGGTGTGGCTGTTATTCCTACTGATCTGTTATTTTCTTCGTTTTGAATTTTGTTTTTTAAACCAAAACCAGTAAGAGGTTTTTTTCCTCCCGGCCCTTCGGGGCTGAGCCTGGGTCTGCAGACTGAATGTACGGGGCGCCGCCCCACCCCGCCCGGCTGCGGCCAGGGCCCACCCTCCGGGCCCAGGAGCCCCTCTCGGCCAAAGGCTCCCCTGGGCCCGAGCCCCCCGGTCGCCTCAGGAGAGTGCTTTCCCATAGTTGCCCAGGAATCTTCTTTGTTTAGAGGTACTTGTTTTGATTATGAGAAAACCCCGTGTAATGTGTATGTGAGTGTGGGAACTGGAAGGTGTGGGGGGCGGGGGGCTGGCCGCGGTGCGGGGTTGGTACGTTTCCATTTTCTCCGTGTGTGTGTGTGTGTGTGCGTGCGCGTGTGCGCGCGTGCAGCGTGTGTGTGCATCATGTCACCCCCCCTCCCCCCCATCAAGGTGTAGAGACTTCTGACCTTTGCTACCTCTTGACTTAACAGGACGTGGTTGGTGATGGCAGCTGTGGCCACGACACTTGTGTTTTCCTTTGGGCCCCGTCAGCAGGGCGCCTGCGTGTCTCGTGCGCGTCTGGCCAGCCTGCTGCCCTGACCCGGCCCGGTGGGCGTGGGCACTCCGCTGCCCTGCCCGGGGAGCAGGGGAGGAAGTGAGCCCCTCCCCGCCCCGGCCCCTGGCCCCCGAGGGCTTGCCCTCCGGAGAGCAGGAGCCCCAGCCTGGCCGGTGCCCAGCCCCCTTCAGCTTGGCACCTCTGGGCGGACTGGCGGCCCCCATGGGCTCACCCTGAGCCCACCCCCACCCTGGGCTCCGCCAGCCTCAGACACCTGCAGGGCTCCAGAGGCTCGCTTGGGCCGAGGTCATGAGGTCGGCAGCTGTCCTTAGCCAGCTGCAGCCACAGGGCTGGACCAGCGGCTTTATCTCCTTCATTTTGCTTCCTGCTTTTATTTCTTCTCTTTTTTATTCTACTTTAATTTCAGACCAAAAATTCCAGAGTCATCCCTTCTCCCCTCCAGAGACCCTCCAGCTGAAACCAGGGACCCGGGTGGAGGGCATGGGGAGTGTGGGGGCTCGGGCTGTGCGGGGCCCTGCTGAGCCCGCTGCCCTTCCCTCTGGGGACGCCTGTTCCAGCAAGTCAGGCAGGACCCCCCAGCCCCTCTGCTCACCCAACCCCCCCCATCAGCACTTAAGCCACACGACAGAAGTCTGTAGCGGGAGCTGCGCACGCCCGTGGGCGCGGCCCCGGTGAGGAGGGCCCTGCTGAGCCCGCTGCCCTTCCCTCTGGGGACGCCTGTTCCAGCAAGTCAGGCAGGACCCCCCAGCCCCTCTGCTCACCCAACCCCCCCCCATCAGCACTTAAGCCACACGACAGAAGTCTGTAGCGGGAGCTGCGCACGCCCGTGGGCGCGGCCCCGGTGAGGCAGGTGGCTCAGGGCAGAGCCTCAGGGACGGGGCGTAGAGGCCCTCAGGCGGCCTTCGTGCCGCGTAGTGTTGTGCCCGCCCCGAGTATTGGATCAAGCCTTCTCTGTATTTTAACAAGAAAGCAAAACACTAGTTTCTTATTTAAGGGTTTGTGGGGCGGGGTTGGGTTCACAGGACACTTGGATTTGTCCTCCTTTTCCCTTGGTTTCACGTGGAGTGCGTGCTCGTGAGTGTGTGGACGTGTGTGTCAGAGCCTCACCAGGAGATTAGGCCATTGGAGGCCCAGGGCGGCTTACAGTTCTCTGCTTTAGTCACTTAATTCCTGAATGTTTCGGAGAAACAGGAAACAAAATAGCAGATGTCATGTAGGAAAGGATTTTTTTTAAAAAGCAAAAAAAAAAAAGCTCACACCCAAATTCACAAAAGCTATTTTTTAAACCAAAGCACATTTTGAATGCATATGGAACCTCAATGGGCTCAGAAAAGAAAGATACTAATATATTTATCTCATTGTTTACATAAACTTTTACAGTTTCAGACCTCAGCAGCTGTAAGGCCAGTCTGGTGAGCCCCCACCTTCCGCCCGAGGCCCTGAGTCGGCCCGGAGGGCTCACGGGCAGGGGGGCCGCCCTGGTCGGGCGGCGTGGAGGCCCCGCCCTCGCGGAGCCCTCCTCCCAGCCCAGCTGGCACCAAAGAGCGGGGGCCTGCACCCACCGGCCCCCGGGCTTCCTGGCCAGGCGGAGCGGTCCTGGCCAGCTGGCGCAGCAGGGCGGCCTCGGCTGTGGCTGCAGGAACCGAGTCTGGGCTTGGGCCCTGGGATGGAGGTGCACCCTGTCCCGCTGCTCTGCCCGTGAGACCCCCGCTGGGTTGATGTGAGGGTCCCTCTCAAGCCAAAAAGCCAGGACCTTCGCACGGCTCCGCGGAGACTCCAGCGGGTCCAGCTGTGGGAGGGCTCACTGGGCCGGTCCTTACCTACACAGACGGTGCGAACACTCGGAACAGTGTTGTTTTTGTATCAATATGTTTGTGCAGTGATGAATGTATTTATTTCTCAGACTCGGGGGCGAGCGGCAGGCCGGGCTCCGCCACGCCACGCACGCTCCCCCGCGAGACCGAGCCCGCTGCCGAGGCTCCTCCAGGATTGCAAAAAAAAAAAAGAAGAGAAGACGGACCTTTAAGCAGATCTGAATCTCAGAGACGCGCAGCATAGCCATACACCTCAGCCTGTGAAACGGACACTGGACCTAGAACCTCATGCAGCCGGGTGTGCTCCCGGCGGCCGCCACCCGGGGGCGCCGGCTGTCCGCCAGCCCCACCCGTCAGTATTCACTGGACTGGCCGTTAACAGGAGTGCGATCGATCATGGGGCGGGTGGACCCCAGCCTCTCTCCAGGCAGCCATCCCAGGCCGGAGCGAGGCCTGGGCAGCCAGGAGGGCAGGGCCGCCCGCCCTTCCCCGCGGCTTGGGGACGAAAGCAGAGGCGCCGGGCCTTTGGCGGTGCCCTGTGCAAGGGACCAAGGCCCCCGCTCCCCCGGGCAGCGGTGGTCACAGAGCCCGCGAATCTGATGCCTGGAGGGGTGGAGCAGGCCCGCCCAGAGCCCGGTGTGACATTCCACGTCAGGGGGTGGGGGTGCGTCGTGGGAGTCGAGGCTGCCCGGGACCCCCGGCTTGTCACCCCACTGCGACTTTCTACCGGGAGCCCCTCCCCCTACCTCACCTTGCTATTTATTGCTGTAATTTATTGACCTCAAATATGCTGCATAACAGACCTCACTCGGGGCAGGAGGGGTCCCCGGGGCTCCTCCCCGCCACTCGGCGGGGCCCCATGGGGCCAGGTGCTGAGGGGAACCCTCTGCCCCCACCCACCACTTGCTTCCCTCTCCCCCCCTGGGGGACCCCTGGTTGGGCGCTGGCCCATTCACAAATACCTCGTCGGAGAGGGGGGATGGGGTTTCGCTGTTTCTTGACTGGGAACTGGAGGCAGACTCACGTCCCGCTAGGCGCCCTTCCCAGGAAGGGGGCGCGCGATCGCACTCCTGTGCTGGCCACCGCCGCTGTCAGGCACCACACTGCCCTCACCTCCCTCCAGAGTCTGGATAATTCAGGTCAGAGCTGCGGGTGCAGAGCCCTCCAGTGTCATAAAGCTGGTCACTGATGTCTCCATTCAGAGCGTGCAGTCTTAATGTACAGTGACGAGATACTGTTATTTTATGATCTTTTCATTAAAAGCTTGATTCAAAACTCGTGTGAGGTCTCTGATCTCTGGCTGTTTTCACTAAATGACCGACTGCTTTCCTTTCTCTGTCCAGTGGTTTCAGGACCTGGGAGGTGGTAGTTGGGTTGCAGGGTGTGTGTGGGGGCCTCTGCCCACCTCAGTCCTAAGAGTGAGTTTCAGAGGGGCCTGGGTCCTCACTTGGTGGCAGGTGAGCTGGGCAGTGGGGTCCGCACTGTTGGCTGAAGCCGGCTGAGGCAGTTTGAGAAGCAGGGGGCGTGTAGACGGGCCATGGACCTGGTGGCCAGGATGTGAGGTCTGGCCGGTGCCCAGCACCACCTTTGGGGCAGCGGGGTTGGGCTGGGGCAGGGGCTGGCTCCTTCCTGCCCACCCCTCCTTGGTCACATGGTAGGGGAGTGGGAGAGGGGGTGAGGTTAGTCTCCAGGGTGGGTGCAGTAGGTCCCATTTCCTGGAGGACTGTCCCTCTTGAACCCAAGTGGGGGTCCCAGGCAGAGGCAGACCCAGGAGGAGGGACGGCCTGGGGCTGGAAGGACGTCCGTGCAGCTTGGCCCCCGGACTCCAGAACTGCCGGCGGCTACAGGCCCGCGGTGGCCAGTCCCCAGAGCAGTGGCCCCTGCTGCTGCGCCCCTCGGTACATTCTGTTCAGCTGTTTTAAAAAGCGGTTTAATTTTTTTGGTTTATCAAAAGCGGTACTCAAAGATAGTTTGAATAATCAAATGGCTCTTAAAAAGGCTTAAAACTAAACATGGTTTCTGGTCCTTCCAAGCCCACCGCCACATGCTGGCTGCAGGGTAGGTGATCACTGCGGGTCATGTCTACCCTCTTCTCCTCCCCTCACACCCCCGAGTAAGTTACCAGGCAGTCAGTGTGATCTGGGGCTTGGCAAACTCTCTCCGGAAAGGTGCCAGATAGTAAGTGGTGGGCCACGCGATCTCCGTGGCGACTCGCCTCTGAGTCGCAGAGCGGAGGCAGCCAGAGTGACCGTGGCCGTACTCTCGGTCATCCACTAACCGCGGCGCAGTGCGCGTGCGTGATGGCCATCACGTCGCACATTTGTTTATTCCTCGGCCAGCGAGTATATCGGCCGTTTCTATTTTTCTGGAGGCTTAATAATGATCGTATTTTTTCAATTCTCCACCTTTTCGCCCTGAAATGCCTCCCGGGCCAGTTTTCCACAGAATCGGACATGATTCTGCAGCCTGCTGTTCTGCACAGGTTGGTCTGAGGCCCCGCCCTCCTGTCCTGCATCCGAGGTCCTGTCTTCTGGCTCCCGGGTGTTCTTCCCTTGGGTGACGTGTATTTCCTCCAGGACCTTCCTGACCACACGTGGGAAGTAGGTTTTGAGACTTAAAATGTTAAAAATGTTTAGATGACATGGAGTTTATGACTACCGTTCGGTTGGACATCGTTTTCCTGGGGAGTTTTGAAGGAGGACCCTGGTCAGACCGGGTTACGGCCCATTCTAGAGACCCATCTCTAGACACAGTCACATTCTGAGGTGCTGGGGGGCATGCTTCAGCCCCACAGGGCACACAGACCACGTGAGTCTGCAGGGGCCCTGCTGCCCTCAGCAGGCACGGATAGGGTCACATCACCCCCCACGGTGTGCTCCCCACCCCCAAGGGACTGGCGAGGCTCCTCCTGCGTCCCCCCGTCCTTCCAGAAGTTCTCTCACCACTATCCACTCTGCTGCTGTCTTGGCCACAGGCCCTGGCAGAAGCGTGTTGTGCGGGCTGGGTTGTGGCCACTGGGAGCCCGAGACACTAAAACTCGTTTGGCGACGGGGCCCCCAGAATCTTCCATCTTTGCGATGCTACAGGCAGCTTTTCCGGGCCCTGGGGGGGACTCCCCGGACTTGGGCAGAGATCAGGCCAGTGTCTGTCTGCACGTGCTGAGGGCTCCTTCCTGATGGGGACACAGACGTCATCACAGTCACAGTAAGTCAACAACTCCCCGGTAAACGGGTGGGTGAAGGGCTGTGAGGAGCTGGTCGGACCACATGCTCGGGCAGGGCCGCCCACATGTGGGGAACAGCCTGTGCCAAGAGCAGAGGCCTCAGAGCACGTGGTCTATTTACGGGACTAAGGTGGCTTCCCCGTGGCTGGAGTGGGAGACGCGCCAGGTCCTGGCCGGTGGGCCCACGTCGGGGGGACTCTGTCATTCATTGTTTGATACATCAGGGTTTGTATAAATCTTCTCTCTCTTTTTTTTTGCTGTGCCGCTAGGTTTACACGGGGGCTTCCCTTGTGGCTCAGCTGCTAAAGGATCTGCCTGCAGTATGGGAGACCTGGATTCGATCTCTGTGTTGGGAAGATCCTCTGAAGAAGGGAAAGGCTACCACTCCAGTATTCTAGCCTGGAGAATTCCATGGACTGTATAGCCCATGGGGTTGCAGAGTCGGACACGACTGAGTGACTTTCACTTCACTTCACTTAGGTTTGCAGGATCTTAGTTCCCGACCAGAAGTCAAACCCGGGCCCTGGCAATGATAGCGTGGAGGCCTAACCACAGGGAATTCCCCTTTTCTCTCTTATCAGGCAAAAACTGTTTCACATGTGGAAACAAAAACAAACCCCGCAGGCGTGGGTTTTATGCTTATTCACTAATTCTTTCTCCAGTCAGACACTCACTGAGGTCCTGGCATCCCACAGAGCCCTCAGCTGACGGTGCGGAGTGTGCAGCTGCTGGGTTCAGTCCTGAAGACAGGGTGGTGAGCCGGGCACCGCCCCCTTCCTGGGCTGTGCCCCTCCGTAGGGGCCCCTGGGTGGGCAGGGAGGCCCCAGAGAAGGACCTTGAGCCTGAGTCCTTGGGGGAGGGGCAGAGCCAGGCCAGCGGGCTGGGTGGGAAGGCCGGCAGGTGCTCCTGTCATGGGTCTGGTGGGAGCAAAGGGCAGGAGCGCTGGCTGGGGGGTCTGTTACCGTGACTCCTGCCGCCCCTGGGCCCCACCGCCCAGGCAGTGGCTTGCGTTTCCCCGGAGGCTTTGTCCGCCCCAGTCTTTCCCCACAGAGGCTCTCCTCCTAAAGACCAGGGGCAGGGAGGGGTTAGGCGCCCTTCAGCTACCCAACCTGGGGCGGGGTGGGGGGAGTCAGCCCCACCTGACGTGTGCAGAACCTGAGGCGCAGAGCTGGTGGGGGGGTGCTCACACCAACACCTCCACCTGCACTTACTGATGGGGCTCCAACCCAGCGGACCAGGCGGAGCAGTGGGGGCAGGACCCTGGGCGGGGCGCATCAGTGGTGCCCAGTTCCTCCGCATCTCAACACCCACCGCGGGGCCTCTCTGCCTTAACAGTGGGGCAGACCTCCTGCCAGGAACCCACATCCAGCTGACATCCACCCCTGAATCTCACTGGTAGAATCCTACAAGGAAGCTAAAAGCCACCGTGGGTCTAGACCAGTCCGGCTTTCCGTCTGGGGCAGGGGAAGGACAGCCTGGAACCCTGAAGAACAAGACCCTGGGAAAGGGGCCCACGGATGGGCTTCTGCAGGCAAGAAGGAGCAGGAGGAGGAACTTTTTAGAGAAATGTTACTGAAGCATAGTTGGTTTACCGTGTTGTGTTTATCTCTGTAGTACGGCAAAGTGACCCTGTTATACACGTATATACAATCTTTCTCATATTCTTTTCCATGATGATTTATGAGGATACTGAATATAGGCCCCTGTGCTATACGGTAGGACCTCCGCGTTTATCCATCCTGTAACAGCTTTCCTCCGCTAACCCCAACCCCCCAATCCCTCCCTCCCCCACCCGTCCCCCTTGGCAACTACAGGTCTGTTCCGTGAATCCGTTTCATAGAGAGGTTCATTGTGTCACTTCCTAGATTCCACCTGTAAGTGACAGCATATGGCATTTGTCTTTCTCTGGCCTTCCCAGGAGGGGATCACTGGGTCCAGAGACAGGAAACTTGTTTACGGAACCCGATCTTTCCCACCGGAGGCTACCCGGGCCGCAGTGCCCCCGGCCGCGGGCGGGAGCGAGCCGGCCTCGCCCTCCGCTTCAGGCGCGAGCACCCGGCGGTGCGTGCGGTTCCAAAGCGCTCCGCGCGCGGCCCATTGTGACGCGGGCCCGGCGGCGGCCGCGGGCAGAGCCAGACCATGGCCGAGGCGCAGGAGCTGCTGCTGCAGCTGCAGAAGGACAACCGCGACGGGAGGCTGCGGAAGCAGGAGCTGGAGGAGCTACTGCGCGGGCTGGAGGCCGAGAGCGAGAGCCTCACCGCTCGCCTGCGGGACCTGAGCGAGCGCGAGCGCGGGNCGGGACCCCCCCGGTGGGCGGGGGCAGTGGAGGCGGGGGGTGTCTGAGATGGGGCGGGGCCCGCGCTGATGGGGGGACCTCGGAGAGGCCTGGATCTTCCCCTCGACCCCGTCCAGGAGCAGCAGAACCGACAGCTGCAAGAGCAGTGGGAGGAGCTGTCAAGCCAGGTACCATCCGGAGACGGTCGCTGTCTCCCGCTTCCCCCGGGGCTGCCTCGCCCCAGTCCCCGCCCGCGCCCCTCCTCCCAGGATAGTCCCCGCCCCTAGCAGCCCCGACCGCCCCGCCCTCACAAGCCCCACCCCTAGCTCTTCTACTACGGAGGAGAGCAACTGAGCCAGCAGCGGGCGGAGCAGCAGCTAGGGACCCAACTGGCGGCCCTGCAGGTGCTCGGGCGGGGCTCGGGAGCCGGGCGCTGGCGTGGGCGGGGCCTTAGGCGAGGGTGGGCGGGGCGGCGGGGCGGGGTCAGGCGCGGCGCGTTTGCGGAGTGCCGGGCTCCTGACTCTCCCTGGATTCTCCCGAAGAAACAACTGGAGCTGGTGGAGGCCAAGCACACCATGCAGGCGGAGACCCTGCGGCAGGTGCGGCGGAATCGGGGTCTCGGGAAGGCCGGCTTGGGGTGTGCGTGAGGCTGGGCAGGTGCAGGACGGTGGGGAGGACCGAGTCCCCCCTACCGCGTCTAACCAGGGCTCCCCTCGTGTCAGAGCGCACGGCGGATGGAGGAGGCCTGGGCCAGCTTCCAGGAGCAGAGCGGAGTCTTGCAGGTGCCGCCCCCCCTCCGCCTCCGACCCCGCCGCGGCCTCCGCGTCGCCCTTCCCTGGAGCCGCGGCGGCCTGCCCACACCCTACCCAGGTCTTCCCGCGTGTGAGGCCTCACTCTTACCACCCGCTCCAGGAGTTGCAGGGGAAGGTGATGGAGGCGGCGGCTGCGCTCGACAGCTCGCGCGGCGGCCCGGAGCCGTAAGGGGGTCAGATTGTCGGGTATCAGGAGTTGAGGGGGGCGCGACTGCTGGCCAGGCGAAGGGCCCATCCTCGTGCCTTTCCCGGCAGGTGCGACTCACAGCCCCGCCGGGGGCAGGACTGCGCGGGCTCGCTCATGGAGGAGGTGGCCAAGGCGGACTGTGTGAGCCTTGGAGGGGGCGGGCTGGAGCCGAGACCTGCCCCGCGGGGCCACCTCCCACACACGGTGGGGGGCACCCCATCAGAGACCCCCCGACCCCACCAGGGACCCGCCTCACCGTACCAACCCCACTGGGGACCACGAGCATCACGGGGCCGCCCACTCAAGAACCGCGCCCGCTTGGGAGCTTCCCCTGTGGTGCCGCGCCCCCACGAGCCTCTCGCCCCAGGGTCCCGCCCCGTCCGAGGCGTCCGGCAGGAAGGTGTTCTCTTGTCTCCGCAGGACAAGCAGCTGTTCGGCTTGGGTGCAGCGGGCTTCAGGTGAGCGGGCGGCGGGAGCGGCCTCGGGGCTGGTGCCTGGGCGCGCCCCGCGCCGCCAGCGCCCATCTGCCGGTGCGTGGTCGGTCCGCAGGCTGTGGGCGCTGGGCGCGCTGCAGACGCTGCTGCTGCTGCCGCTGGGCGTCGTGGCGCTGCCGCTGCTCTACCTGGCGCTGGTGAACCCCTCGGTCCTGCGCCGCGGCCTCGCGCGCCAGGGCTCGGACGCCGCCCTGCGCCGCCTGCGCTACACGCTGGCCCCACTGCTGCAGCTGCGCGCGCGCGGACTGCTGCCCGCCTAGCGCATCACGCCGGCCGCGGCCGCCCGCACCCGAGTCTCCCGAGTGGTTTCTGAGCGCCGGACTGGGGGCGTGTGGGGCGGGGGGAGACGGGGAGGGTAATGGAGGAGGGAAAGGGGAATCCACCCGGCCCTCGGTTCCACCCGACCCCTCCGTTCCCCCAGCCCGTCTGCCCACTCCGGAGGGGTTGGAATCATGACTTAACCCGCTCTCGCCGCCGGCGAAGCCAGCCGGCGGCGCTGGCCGGCGGGTCCCCGCGGAGCTCCGTGTCCCGCGTACGCCCGCTGGTTACTCAGTGCCGCGGCGACCCTCGTCCCCGGTGGGTCCCTTGTTGGGGGCGCGGGCGTCCTCCCCCTGGTCCGCGGCCTCTCCAGCGTCCGGGCAGCGGGGGCCATGCGCATTCATCACTGCAGTCTTGGCTAGCGTTGGCTAGCGTCTTCTCTTTATTTCTGTGAGATATCCTGCTTAATGGAGGGGGAACTCGAGTTTCACTTCGTCTGATGCGAACAGTTGCGCTATTTTATCTTTTTTTTTTTGGTAGTGACACTTTTGTATGTCCTGTGCACACATACTTGTGTTTTTGCTCTGGTCTTTAAAACAATCCTTTTTTGTTGACTTAACTGCACATGGACTTTAGTGTTTTGGGGTTAAATTTTTGTGCTTCTGTGCACAATTTAAGAAGTGCATGTTGTGTCCTGAAAATCCCTCCCTCGTCTGAAGTCATGCTGTTCTACTTGAACGTCTCGTCTGTGGCTGTCTTGTGTCCAGTCATCCCAGATGACCGTCTGGACCGTCCCGCTCTCTGGTCACAGTGAGGAATTCTGCAACGAGGGACTTCCTCAATGGTGCCCAGTGGTTGCAACTCTGCGATTTCGCTGCTGGGGCCGGCTTTAGCCTGTGCTCTCACTTCTTTTGGGTGTTTACCTAGGAGTGGACTTGCTGGGTCAAAGGGTGCTTCTGTGTAATTGTTTGAGGAACTGCCGGACAGTGTCCCGTCAGCAGTGCACGCGGGGGCCGGCTTCCCCACGTCCTCTACTTTAGTTTGCTGGGGGTTTTGCTTCTTTTATAATAACAGCCATCCTAATGGGGGTGATTTTTCTGCTTTCAGTTTTCAGGCATTGCATTCTCTACTTTCTATAATCACAAAGTCACACCCTTAACACAAGATGTCTCATCCGTAAAACAATGGAACTCAAGCTTTTACCCCCCTGCCCTCCACCCTGTCTCCCCCACTTCTGTGGAAGAGACACTTGGTTTTTAAAATGGACTTTTCTTCCCGCATAGTAAGTGGACTGCGTGCCATCCCCCCCCACCCCCGCCCCGTGAGCGCAGAGGGGCACACGACCTCTCTGGCCTCCTCGAGGCCCCTCAGGTGGGCGTGTCACTTGCCCTGCAGTCACCGTGGTGACGGGGGTGGGTCCCCATGTGTCCTCGGCGCGGGCGGCCTTCTGCGAACGTCTTTTTGTATTTTGCCAGAGAGTCTGTGAGATCAGTTCCTCAGAGTGGGGTTGTGAGCCAGGGCTGACCACACGCATGCTGTTTTAAGATACCCGGGTCACTGGCGCTGGGCGCTGGGGGGCTGTTATGGCCCCTCCACGCGGGATACGGCCCCTTTCCGGGTAGGGCCCCCTCAACGCCTCATGCAGTGCGTCTGATGGGTGAGCAAGGGCACTTCAGGGTGGTTTTAATTTGCATTTACCTTATCATCACGGGAGGGGCGTATTCTTTAAATTTAAGGGCCAGGGGCATTTCTCTTCCTGCAAACTATTCCTGTATTTGCTTTCTCTTTTCTCCGCTGTGCCTCGGGACGCGACCATAAACGGAACTTTCTCATTTGTTCTGTTGCTGTGAGTACACAGTTGACCTTTGTGTATTAACCTGTATCCTGAACCTCGACCACAGCACAGACCCAGGTTATTTTGGGTTTGTGTGTACACAGGCCACTTCTGAGTTGCTTCTTCTCTCGATTCTCACTGTTTCCTTCTCTGACTAGACTGGCAGGGGCCCCCAGGGCCCAGCGCTGAGCAGCGGTGGGGACAAGTCTGGTCCGGGAGGCCGGCTGTCAGTGTGGCATCTTTACGGACGACGGTTGTGTCAGGCAAGTGCTGCTCTGGGCACACCCTGTTCTGAGCGTGGAGCCCCTCCCTGAGGCCTCGGGCTCTCGGGTTGGTCTTTTGTTAACTGTGTTATTGGAAGAGGAACTTGATTGCCCTTAACACTTTAAATTTAGTTTTCAGTCTCTAAAGAGACCTATTTGCTTGTCAGCTCTTGGGTTTAGACTTTCTACCCAGCATTGTTAAATAAACCCAGCGTTTATTTCTAACTTTTAAAAGATACAGTTTGCCATATTGCCACCATCTTGTTCATGGCATTCAGCTGACTTTCATTTTAAAGTCAATGTGACAGGCTTCCTTTCCACGTGATGTGACCATCAGTTCTACTGTGAGTGAATTTCTGTTTTAGAGAGTGTTCATCCTGTATTTCCTGTCTCCCCCTGCCCACCGCACCGTCTCCTGTTGGCTGGTTTCTGGAAGTTACACCCTACAGTCTGGTTTGCTCATTTGAATGGACTCAGCTCTAGCCACCTCCCCAGACACAGCCTGAGAGCCTCCCCCGCAGGCCCTGTCCTCAGCTCTCACGCGTCTGGTCTGGTGCTCCAGCTCCGCTGCTCCAGCTGACAGTGCAGGGCCCTCCAGCTCTCTTGTTGACTCCTCACAATTGCACGGAACCGGCCTGAGGTGCTGAGCAGGGGCGGACGGGCGCTGTCGCCGTCGATGGAGCGCGCTGCGTGCTGCCGGGCGTGTGCGGGCCGCTGTCCTCTGCCCGCTGGCCTTCTGCCAGTCGCGTCACTTGTGCAGAGAAGGGTGTTGCGACTCTCCGGGTCTGTGAGTCTATTTCTCCCCTGAATTCTGTCAAGCTTTGCTTCAGAAGCACACACACGCCTGCTGATGGGGAATCTTTGCCCCCTCCTTTCGCATCAGGTCTCTGACTGTATTTAGAGAGCACCTCTTGTGAGGAAGTAATCGGGCCTCACGTTTCATCAACAGTTAGAACTCCTGCCTCCTAGTGGGAGGCACAGAATGACTGGCACAGGGGGACCGTCTCTCAGCAGTGTGGCTGCTCCCCCATGAGGGCCTCCCTTCCTGGACGAGCTCTGCGTCTGCCGAAGCGCTCACCTTCCCAGCGGCCGCGTCTCTGCGTCTTGGTGCTGCGCTTCCTGCAGCTGAGCGCGTTCTGGGCCAGCTCTGGGGTCCTGCTTGGGGACTGGAGGGTCCCACCCCCACTTACCGTTTCTTTATGCCCCTTCTAGGTGCCTGTTCTTTCATCAACAGGTTTTCTCTTCGCCTCTGTCTTATACTATGTACCAACCTTTCAGGTGACTCATTTCTAGATGTTCTGTCATTTCTTTAGTAGGGTCGTCTGGGTGGGATGGACGCTGTGGGGGTGGGGGTCAGTGCGGGAGGACGGTGTGGCCACGGGCAGAGCGACCTGAAGATGCTGGAGACAGATACAGGACGGAGGCGGAGCGACGCCCGCGGAGGCGAGGCCAGGAAGGGGCCGCCGTCGGCCCTGAGCCGGCCGGGAGAACACAGGTGCTGCCGCTCCACGGCGCCGTGCTGGCTCGTCTCTGTGAGGCTCACAGTCAGGGTGCTGCGGGCAGCCCTGAGCCCCTTGCTGCCCCCCCACCCCCCAGCTAAATGTGCACTTAGGATTCAAGAGTAAATCAGGGTCCAGCGCAGCAGTGTGCTTTTATTTTGTTCATGTTGGTTAAATATAGCTTTTCTGATTTTTATGCCTAAGAACATACTTCCTGTGCCTCTGAGAGAAGACGGGTAGGGAACGCGTCCAGTGCAAGAAGAGCCCGTGCCCGTGCCGAGACCGGCTCTGATGTCCTTCTGGCCACGCGGGCGGCGCCCGGGACAGGGAGTCTCCGGCTTGGCAGGGGCACCTCTGGCCCATTTGTGTGTTGGTTCAAGCAGCAGCCGGCGCGCCCGTGGAGACTGATTGCGGCCGCCCCGCTCTCAGTAGGGGATGTCATTCTGATAGTACTGGATCATGTCATAGGTCCGGCTCCTGCAGGCAGAGGGCAAGGGGCGCTGTGAGGGGCTGAGCCCTCTGAGCTGCCCCAGAGGCTCAGGGCCCAACCGTGGACCTCTGCCCCACCAGCGCCGCGCCCGATGGGGCCCGTGCTCCCTTCCTGGCAGCTCCCCGGTTCTGCCCCGCCGCCTTGCTCGTGGGCGCCTAACGTGGGCTCGGGCGGATGTCTTTGCTCAGCTGGCTGCCTCCTGTCCTAGGAGCTGAGTCCAGGTCGGGGGTCTGCCCAGCACACACAGAGCCATCACGGCCCCATGCTGCCCACCAGACCCTCCCACCGGGCCGAGCCCCTCCCTCCCTCTGCACCCTGGTCACCGAAAGCATGTGGCACCCCAGGCCACACTCCCCCTGGACCTTGGCGGGCCCAGCGGGGCCAGTCTTCTGTCCCCAGGGTGTGGGCCTGGGGGCTCTGCACCTCCTGCAGCCTGGCTTCCCGTGGGTCACCCCGTTGTTCAACCTGGAAACCTCCAGGCCACCTCCGACTGCCACAGCCCCGGGGAACCTGTCCCCTAGAATGTCACTGAGGCCAAGCCCCTCCAGTCACAGCCCCCATGGCACCTGAAGCCCCTCACCCACCCTGCCAGGCTGGGCGTCTCAGGGCAGTGCATCCGGTCACCTGGCCCAGGCGTGGCCCCACCCAGGGCCCCCTGAACACCAGGTGGGGGACATGCGAGGGGAGCTCAGGACTGGGGCCTTGCCTGTTGCTGAGGAAGCAGCTCTGAATGACCTTCAGGATGAAGTTCGCAGCCTCTCGCTCCGTCATGTTGGGGCTGAACCTGTGCCTGTGGGGGAAGGGCCATGTCAGGGCTACCGCCCTCCACGCGTGGATGTGGCCTGGTCTCCTGTGGGGCTGTGGTTCCCAGCTGGCCTCAAGGGTTTGGGCCCCTTGCCAGCAGCTCCCATCTGTGGGACTGGCAGCTGGGGTAGGATGGGAAGGGGGCTTGGCCTGGATGTGCCCTAAGAAACAAGGGGTGACAGGCACATCCCCTCCATGGCCACAGAAGCCGGGGCACCTCACTTGGGAGCCCATCCAGTCTGGGCGTCCCAGGGGAGCACCTGGCCTAGGTGACAGGCCCTGTCTTGGGACCGCCACCCCGCTGTCTGCCCAGGACCTACTTGAGGAGCTTGATTGTCTGGCCACGGAAGCAGGGCAGGCCTGTGTCCAGCATGAGGGTGACCAGAGAGACGACAGCGTCCATGTAGGGCCTGGGGAGAGGCAAGGAGGGAGGTGAGCAGAGTCCAGCCTGGGCATGGCCTCTGCCCGCGTGGCCGCACACTCTGGGTGCCACCACACTGCTCTGCAGCTTAGCCACATGGCGTTGGAAACCATGGGCCCTGGCTTGGGAAGAAAGGACTTGCCACTTGGAGGGACCAGAGGCAAGGCCCAGCCTGGGAGGTGCGATGTGGGGGCACCAATGCCCAGAGTGAGGTGCTCTGGCAGAGACGGCAGATGTGACAGGAGCCAGGCCTCAGGGGCCTCCTGCACACGCCCCTCCAAACCCCGAACCTGCCCCCCAACCGCCGCCAAGACCTGAGATGGCCTGAGGGGAGGAGAGCCTGGATGTGTGGGCCCACCGGGGCCCCACCCTCCCTCATCTGGACCGCGAGGCTCACCGCACGGCCAGGTAGCCACGCACACACATCTCCATGAACCACTTGAAGGGCGTGGCCTCCATCTTGCCACCCATGATCATCACCATCTCATCTGTCAGCTTGATGTCCGGCTCCCAGCCGAGGTTGCCGCCCGGGGAGCTTTCGAACATGAAGCCAAAATCTGCACAACCCCGAAAAGCCACAGTCAGCTGCAGGCTGGGGTGGAGGAGGAGAGCCCCGCCCCCAGTGTGGATGACGTGAGGGAGAGCCCCGCCCCGCCCACCGATGTGGATGAGGTGGCCCTTCTTGTCCAGCATGATGTTGCCGTTGTGCCGGTCCTTGATCTGCAGCAGGAACAGCAGGAGGCTGTAGGCGGCCATGCTGCGGATGAAGTTGTAGCGCGCCTGCGGGGGAGATGGGCTCAGGGCCTGCTCGGCAGTCCCCCCAACTGCAGGAGCCAGCCTTCTCGAGGCCTGCCCGGGGCCTCTGCGGGCCCAGGGCGAGTAGTCGTACATGCCGAAGTCGGTCTGGCGGCCCAGCTGGTCCCGGGACGTGCAGTCGGGGATGCACTCGATGACGCCGCACTAGGGGGGAAGGGCCAGGCTGCAGGCACACAGTGGGCCCAGGGGCAGGCCGCGGGGCGGCCGGGCTTCTGCTCTGGACACTTACCCCGGGGGCGGTAGCCACCACCCGGTACGGGAAGACGAAGAGGTCCAGGCCGACTAGCTGGAAGATGTTTTTGAAGAGGTCGATGATCTGCAGGGCCAGCATGTCCTGGGAGGCAGAGACACAGGGTGGTGGTGAGCAGCCACAGGAAAGCAAGGGTCCCTGTCTCTGTGCAAGGCTGGGGAGCACGCCGGGATCTGTGGAGAGCACCCCGGTGGGCCCGCGCCACCCCCTCGCCAGGGGGGGCACTACCTGCCGGCAGTCGTCCCCCACTTTGAAGATGGCCGCCTGCCAGGAGATCTTCTGGCCGTCGGCCTCCTGCACGCTGCCTTCCTCCTCGGAATCTGAGCGGCACCGCAGGCCTGCAGGGGAGAGGCTGTTTGTCGGTGGGGGCAGAGGCTCTGTGAGGGTCTGGGGACACCTTGCTCACGTGCCTGAAGGAACCCCGAGAACCTTAGGGATCATGCCTGCAAAGCCCAAGGGGGGCTGATAAGGGCCTGGCAGACACCCGGGTCAGGCCAGCTTGTTTCCTGAGAACAGCTGAAGACAGAGTCTGTCTCACTGGAGCGAGGACCAGGGGGGCACTGTTGGGGCTGGGCCCGAGGGGGTGCCCAGCAGGAGCCAGGGCCACCTGGCTGGTGTCCCCCCAAACCCACACCCCCAGAACTGTGGCGTGTAACCGCACGTGGTGACAGGGTCCTCGCATAACTGGTGGAGTCAGTGTGGCCCTGACCAGTGGTCGTGCCTTCCCAGAGACAAGGAGGGGGGACTCTGGCTGAGGCAGAGGCCGCGCTGACACGTCCACAGCCAAGGACCAACCAGGCCCTGTGCTGGGAGGAGGCGCAGGATCCTGCCTGGAGGGAGCGGGGCCTGCTGACACCCCGAGCTCAGCACTGGGAGAGCCAGCTCCTGCCGCGGAAGCCGGCCTGCCCGTGGGCACTCACACGGTGGCCAAGCAGACCCGCCCTCCCAGGGACCTCGTCGCTGCACATGTGCCCGCTCCCCAGACGAGGGACCAACTGAGCCGTCACTGTTCACGGGGACCCCAGACTACATGGGACATGGCACTGACCTTCCTTCTCAAGCTCACTAACCCCGCAACGTTTCACCTTGAACTTCGCCAGATATGGGGCCTTGGCGGCGCTAGAAGACAAGAGATAGGCATGAGTGACCAGGAGGGGGTGTGAGTGACTAGGAGGAGGCATGAGTCACAGGGAGGGGTCCTGCGAGGGGCAGCCGGGGGTGCACCTCTGCATGGGTGTCCCAGACTTGTAGTCGATGTCCAGCACGATGGCCTCGGGGTTGCTGGGCAGGTAGCAGCCTGCAAGGGATGGAGGGATGTCACCAGCCTGGGCGTGACGCAGGAAGACACGCTGCCGTCCAGCACGCAGGCCCATCCCCAGGCAGATGGGCTGGCATTGGGGTCTGGAGGTCCGCCCTCCCTGGCTATTTCCCTGGGTCTGTCCTGATGCCCACACGGCCCCCACCACCCTCACAGACACGTCTCCGAGGGGACTCCTGAACCCTCAGCTTCCTGGGTGCCCCACCACAGGACACATGGAGCCCCGGCCCCGCCTGCCTGACCCCCAGCTCAGCCTGTCTGCGTGGATCAGGGTCCGGGGCTGCAGTTCCAGAGCCCCCCAGGTGGGGTCCCGATGGAGGCGCTGGCCCCGGGAGCACATGGCTCCCTGCCTCCTCCCTCACCAGCCCAGCCTCACTCACAAGGCCCAGCTCTGCTCTGGTCTGCAGCTGGCTGGCTCCCCAGGGCCTCAGGGATGTGGCCCAGCAGCAGGAGTCCTCTCAGAGGCTGAGCGGGGCTCAGCATGGTCGGGAGAGGCCCCCCTGGGGCTGGTGCCCAGTGCAGAGCAGGCCTAGGCATGTGGGCAGGGCCAGAGTGTGAAGAGCGAGCGTGTGTGACAGTGAAGAACCGAGAGCTGTGCGGTGATGTCCGGGCTCTGTCCTGCCCAACCTGGAGCACCAGGGAGGGGCACAGCCCTCATCCCACGGGCCCCGCCACACTGGGGACGCCCCTTCCCTACACCCACTGCCTCTGCCACACTGGAGCTCGGGAACCTTCTAGAACCACAGCTGCCGGGGACAGGCCTTGGCCTTCAGAAAACAGCTGGAGCCAGGAGGACCACGAGTGACCGCTGGCCGGGGCAGGTTCTAGAGAGGGGTGCCAGGCACCCAGGGCCCGCACATCCCCTTCCCACCAGGCTCCCCCGCCCCGCTCACCAGGCTGCACCTTCACTTCAGACAGAGCCGACAGGCAGGCCTTCTTCCTCTCGTCACCTTTGGGGTAGGGCCTGGGGACCAGGACACAGACGCTGGCCTTCACGCTTCTAGGGCAGGCCCTCCTCTCTGAGGGCCCCTGCCCTGGGTGGCCTCTGGCAGCCCCCAGACCTCTGTGCCCCAAGATGAGGGGCTGATGTGGAATTGCGCCCTCAGTGCAGAGGGCGGCCCAGGGAGCCCACCCTGACAGCTAGGCAAGGACAGGGTGACTGGGCAGGAGCCGGAGCGCTGGGGACAGAGGGGGCCAGGCTCCTCCCCCAGGCTCGGCCAGCGTCCATGATCCCAGGGCCCGTCCTGCACAAATGCGGGGCCAGGGCATCTGAGGTCGGTGTCTGCTCCGCGTGAACATGGACCATGGATGACCTCAGGGTGGCCATGGGGTCTGGCTCCCTAACACTGCTGGGCCCCTCAGAGCCTCCAGAGCAGTGGCCTCAGACCCGAAGTGAAACTAACACATGCTTTCTGTGCACCTGGGGGCCCGTGGGAGCCCCGGATGGGCAGGCAGACTCCTAGCCGGCTGCTGCTCGGCGGGGGCCATGTGCACACCGCCTCCGGGGCAGCTCGCCCGCATGGGGCCTGGAGGAGGTGCGCTTACTTGATGATGGCAGACACGTTGGTGATCTTGTTGAAGAAGTCGAACTCCCGCTGGTAGAAGTCCTTGGCAGGGCCGGAGAGGGAGCCCGTGATCTCCTCCACCAGCTGCTCCAGGAGCTCGCCGATGTCGGCTGTGGAGATGCTGCGGGTGAGCCCGGGCCCTCTCTATGGACCCCGCCCTGAGGACGCGTAGGGCGGCCGCCCAGGGAGCTGCAGGGCTGGGGGCCCAGGCGGGGGTGGAGGGGAAGACCTGAGCAGGGGGAAGGGCAGGGGCCAGAACTCACGGTCCTTCTGGTGGCCCTCTTCGTCCACATAGATGTTGGTCTTCATGTTCCAGATAAACTGGTGCGCCAGCAGCTGGGACTGGGAGGCGGCCCACAGGATGTACTCCCGCACGTAGCCCATCTGCAGCGACGAGGCTGCGGTCAGCCCAGCGAGGCCCCGTGCACCCGAGCGGCCCCGGGCCGGCCTGTCAGCCTGCTGGCCGACCACCGGGCCCGCACTCATGCAGGCACATGCAGCCTCACCCTCGCCCCACTGGACTCTAGGCTGCCTTTGCTGCTGTCAGCGTGAAGTGTGGGCAGGCGGGTCCCAGAAAACCCTACATGCTGGCGGTTGAGTGTCGTGGCCCCTGCCCACCTGTGACCTCTCCTCCTCCCGCGTCAGGCCCAGCTCAGGGCGAGTCCCCACTCCAGGTTACGAAGGTGCTCGCCTTTCTGGAAGGCTCCTGGGGGCTGCCTCTCCTTTCCCACAGACATCTCTGCCCCCATCTACTGCCCCCCCCCCCCCCCCATATGGTATTCCCTGGATAGATGTCCTTGACTTGGTGGTGGGCTTCCCAAATAGGTCAAACTTCAAAAAACCCAACCCTAACGCAGCAAACAGAGCGGAGGCTGACCCGTGAACATGCGACCTCCGGTGCAGGGTCTGGGGCTCGGCCGGGACAGGGTGGTCCCGTGGCCCGGCCCGGGGCACTCGCTGCTGCCTGCAGCTGCAGGCTCGGGGGGGCACGGGGCCCGGCAGGGGCAGCGAGGGCTCCCGGCTGTGGTCGCCCCATGGGTGCTATCCAGGCCCCTTTGGGGCATGCCCATGTTCATGGCTGAATTGCCCCACCCCCACCCACACGCTGAAGCCCTGTGCTTGCTGAAGGCCCTCACTGCGTGTGAAGATGGCTGGAGATGGGCCTTTCAAGAGCTGGTGAAGTTATGTGAGATCAGTGGGGCCTCATCTAAGCTGACCCGTGTGCTCAGAAGAGATAGGGGCAGAGACATGCGATGACCACATGAGGACACAGGGCAGTGACCCCGTCTCCTGGTGAGGAGAGTGGCCTTGGGGGAGCCAGCCCCCCCACCTGGACCCCGGACATCCAGCTTCCAGGCTTGTTCAGGTTCTGAACCCGTGAACTCCTCCAGGCTGGCCCCAGCTCACTAGTGCACCTGGCTTCTCCTCCCAGAAGACAGACAGTTGGGCGTGGGAGTCAGGGCCTGCCGAGACCCCCTTCCAGAAGATGGGTCCCGGGCTGGGCTACCCACCCTGAGGAAGTGGCAGTGATGCTTCCAGAAGCTGCTGGCCCTGCACAGCGGGACTGGGCCTCAGGCGCTGGATGACGGCGTGGTGGGGTGAGAGTTGGAGCCCAGGTCCTGGTCCCGTGCCCCGCCCGCCCGGCCCCCAGGGCTGGACAGCACGCGCGGGCACAGACTCACCTTGTCATACCTGAGCGCCTGCACAATCTGGGGGATGTAGAACAGGATGGCGTCCTGTTGAGGGGGGGTACAGCTGTGACTCCAGAGTGGGGGTCCCAGGAGCCCATCCTGCCCGCACCAGCCTCGTCGTCCACCAGGCTGCCCCACGGTGTGTCCCCGAGCGCCCCCCACCCTGCGGCCGGGCAGCCCCGAGGCCCACCCGGCAGACGGGCTCACCGGCGGAAAGGACCGCAAGACCTTGACCCCGTACTGCGCCGTGAGGGGGTGCGGCGGGTACATGCTGGAGAAGTAGGACAGGCCCGTGGGCGGGTCCGCGGGCGCCCAGCACAGCACATGACTGAGCTCGGGGGCGTCGGCGTCGATGGTGTGCCAGGTGACCAGGAACTGGGGGAGCAGGGAGTCATGGGGTGTGCTGAGCAGCATTCCAACAACAGCTGGCGCGTTCTGCCACCAGCACAACCTCAGCCAGGGCGAAGCACATTCGCCGTTTTCTACAGTAAACGCCTCATTCAGAGGCTGGGAAGCACGGGGAAGCGACACTGATGCCCCGCTGAGCCCAGGGTGCTGGCCACGCTCCTCCAGGCGGCCCCGGAGGCGGCTCAGAGTCTGTGCCTTCCTGCCCTGCCCCCTCCCCCCGCCCCCCTACCTTGATGGCTTCTGGGATGTCACTAACGGCTCCCGGGTCCAAGCGCACTAGACGTGTCACCTCGTTGCCGATGGCTTCCGTGTTTTTGAACCTGCAGGTGCAGGGGGTGTGGGTGGCACACAGGACGGCCGGGGAGCCCGGGACTGAGGGACAGCCCGGCGCCCAGCAGCGTCTGAGCACCCTGGCTTCTGGCGGGCTCACTGTGACCAGCGGTGACCCGGACAGAGGGCCTGGACCAGGAAGGCTCTGCCCTTCCCCTTTCAAGGACCGCACCTCCCTTGGCCAGGCCCTAAGCAGCCTGTGGGCCAGAGGGCACCACAGTGGGTGGGAGGGCGCAGGCAAGCGGTCAGGCCGTGGTCCTGCCCACGTGGACTTGGCACCTGTGGGAGGAAGCACTGAGCAGGCAGCGTGGGCTCAGGGGGCTGCAGGGGTCTGCGAGGACTCGGCCCACTCTGCTCCTGCCGGTCAGAGCCGCCGGGAGAGCTCGCAACCCAGGGGCTGCAGCCCGCGGGTGCCCCCGGGAGTTACCAGCTGCTCCCTTTCCTCGTCAACCAAGATGGGCCTGGGGGCCCCATTACCACCTTGGGATGCGGGGTGCTGGGCTCCGAAGGACAGAACCCACCCTGCACGGTGCAGAGAAAACATCCCCGACGGCCCCGGTGGTGACGCCCTGGGTGGTGACGCCCCCGCCCCCGTCCCGGGCGCCGCAGTGGCGGTGGGCGCGGCCTGGAGCGCACCTGGCTGGCAGCTGCACGGCCAGGTGGGGTGAGATGCTCCAGGCAAGGTTCACGTTGTCCTTCCACTGCTTCTCGCTCAGGCTGATGTACTTGGACCTCCAGTTGGCCACACTGCTCTCCCCTGCCTGGTCCAGCTCCAGCTCCGGGGCTGACAGCGGGTTGTACCAGGTGATGAGGCGCTCGATCTCGGTGGCCTGGGGGACAGACAGGGACACGGCTGTGCCCGTGTGTCCCCAGCTGCCCCCCACCCCCGCTCAGGCCTAGCAGGCGGCCTCACCAGCAGTGACAGCAGGAGAGTCCGGCGCTTCATGTAGTACTTGTGCAGCTGCGAGCCCCGGTTGGTTTTCTTGGACATGCCTGGGGCGGGGGGTGGACACAGGGTGTCCCTCAGAGATGCTCCACCACCCCGAGGACCCGAGGGGCCCAGGTGAAAAGCCCCACCGACCTGACTTCTTGGAGATGGTGGACATGCCACTGGACAGTGGGTACGTGTTGATCCAGCCCTGCGTGGCCTGCTGGCGAGAGCCGACCGCTATGTCCAGGTTGCTCCGGGTGTCCTGGTTGTCTGCGGGCAGACACAGCATTCTAGAACGAGGCAGCCACGGGGGAGGAGACGGGGGAGATGGCTTCACAGAGAGCCAGGCACCCGGGAACTCCGGCGGACCGCTGCAGCAGAAGCTTCCCACAGCAGGCAGTGCTCCCTGGGTGCCACCCGCAGTGGCCATGGGGCACGTGCCCCCCAGTTGTGCTCCCACACAGGGGGCCCAGGGCAGATGTGGGGCTGCCAGCCCTGCTCCAGGGGAGCCAGGAGCCACCGGGACACTTGCTGTGGGTGCTGTCCTGTCCTGGCAGACAGGCCACCTGCATGGGTCTGCTGCAGAGACCCTGGGGCCCTAGCTGCTGCAGGCAAGGGCCTGATCGCGGGGACGCTCCCACGACACTTATGTTAGAGTCGCTCCCGAAAGGACTGCCCGGCCGGGTGATGATGGACTGTACCTCGCCCCTTCTGGCCCACCAGCCTCAGCCCAGGGTGGACTGACAGGCGTGCGGGACACCTGTGAACAGCCAGCGCTGGGAAGCTACGCCGAGGGCGTCTGCCTGGCCCGGGGGCCCTACCCCCACTCCTGGCCCGGAGCGTGGTGGGGGAGAGGAGAGCGGGCCAGTGTACCTGGGGGAACAAGCTGGCTGGCGGTCAGGTACTTCTTGTCCGAGAACATGGCGGTCCAGAACTTGATCATCACACTGATGTCCTCACGTAGCTGCTTCTCCCCCTGAGTCGGGAACCTTGGGGGGCAGCTGCAGATGGGGGGGGACTGGGATGAGAGCCAGGCGCGCGGCGGGGGGACCCGGTCTGGGGCAGGGGCGGCGGGCACCTGAAGTAGTCGAAGGCGGTGGAGTAGATCTTCTCACGGAGCACGTTGCGGATGGTGGCGTTGGGCAGCACGTCCGCGTGCAGCAGGGACAGGCCAAGGGTCAGCAGCCTACGAGGGGGGCCGGCTCACCACTCCACCTCCAGCTGCCCCAGCTCGGGGCCCACCTGCAGGCAGTAGCTCCCCCGCCCACCCCCCGGGCCCCCAGCTCTCACCTGAAGCGGGGCCCAATGGCCGCCACGTGCCGGTTCATGCTGCCCGCAGCGCCCCCGATGCTAAGCGACAGGGAGCGCTGCAGGAGGCTGCAGAAGATCTCCACCTGGTCGGAGCTGCAGTACTTGGCGATCTCGAACCGCTGCACCAGGAACTGCAAGGGGCAGGGGGTGGGGGTGCGGGGACACACTGCCTGTGGGGCCTGCCACAAGGCAGGTGGGGTCTGCAAGGCAGGGGGTGGGTGTCTGGGGGAGAGGGGGTCCAGTACCGCTCCCTCCCAGAGGGGCATCTTCAACCAGGAGCCTTGGGGCAGCCCCCAACCCCGGGGAAGGGTGGGAGGAACCTGGGGGGGCACCTACATCAATCCAGATGTAGTGAGGGGTCACCTCGGGGGCACACGGCTTGGGCTGACTGGCTTCTGACGCAGCCAGGGGGTCTGCTTCCTTTATCTCCGCAGAAAACAGGCCGAACTTCTGCTCCACCGTCATCTGCCAGGCCCCCGCCATCTCCCGCATGAACTGCAAGAACGTGGCCATTAGCGCCTCTGTGAGGCACAGAAAGGGGCCTGCTGCATTTTCTCGTTGGTTTTCAATTATAAAAGGAACATATGCTCGCTGGAAACTTAGAAAACTGAGGAAGTATGAAGAAAAATAAAACCACCAAGGTCCCATGATGACCCCACCCCTGGCCTTCTTTCACCACACGCCCCTCCAGGACCACAGCCGGGCGCGTGTCCCGCTTTGCAGCGCCCACCTGTGACCGCACCACCAACTCAGGGCCTCCAGAACCCAGTGCCACTTCCACCCAACGGACCTGCGACAACACCTTCATGCCCAAAACCAGGCCTTGGAAGAGCTGTGGGGGCCGAGTGGAGCCTGAGTCCCCACGACCAACGTGTGGGGCTTGGAGTGCAGCAACTCCTTCCAAATGCAAAGAGATAGAGGAAAACAGTAGAATGGTAAAGACTAGAGATCTCTTCAGGAAAATCAGAGATACCAAAGGAACATTTCAAACAAAGATGGGTTTGATAAAGGACAGAAATGGTATGGATCTAACAGAAGCAGAAGATTTTAAGAAGAGGTGGCAAGAATACACAGAAGAACTGTACAAGAAAGATCTTCACAACCCAGATAATTACGATGGTATGATCACTCACCTAGAACCAGGCATCCTGGAATGTGAAGTCAAGAGGTACTTAGGAAGCATCACTACAAACAAAGCTAGTAGGGGTAATGGAATTCCAGTTGAGCTATTTCAAATCCTGAAAGATGATGCTGTGAAAGTGCTGCACTCAATATGCCAAATTTGGNTCAAAAAATGAAGATCATGGATTCCAATCCCATCACTTAATGGCAAATAGATGGGGAAACAACAGAAACAGTGACAAACTTTATTTTCTTGGCCTCCAAAATCACTGTAGGTGGTGAATGCAGTCTTGAAATTAAAAGACACTTGCTCCTTTGAAGAAAATTCATGACCAACCTAGACAATATATTATAAAGCAGAGGCATTACTTTGCCAACCAATGCCCATCTAGTCAAACCTATGGTTTCTCCAGTAGTCATGTATGGATGTGAGAGTTGGACTATAAAGAAAGCTGAGCACTGAAGTATTGATGCTTTTGAACTGTCGTGTTGGAGAAGACTCTTGAGAGTCCTTGGATTGCAAGGATATCAAACCAGTCAATCCTAAAGGAATTCAGTCTGAACATTCATTGGAAAGACTGATGCTGAAGCTGAAGCTCCAATACTTTGGCCACCTGTTGTGAAGAGCTGACTCATTGGTAAAGACCCTGATACTGGGAAAGATTGAGGGCAGGAGAAGGGGATGACAGAGGATGAGATGGTTGGATAGCATCACCGACTCAATGGAAATGAGTTTGAACAAAGCCCAGGAGTTGGTGATGGACAGGGAGACCTGGTGTGCTGCAGTCCATGGGCTCACAAAGAGCTGGACATAACGGAACAAGTGAACTGAAGTGACTCCTTTCAGGGCAGGGAGGTGGTCCGATTCTGAAGATGCCTTAGAGGTAAAAGGTCGACCTGACAGCATCCACTAAGGCTCACCATGCAGCGAGGTTTCTTCCTGGGCATTTACAGACAGGGGACGGCAGGGCCAGGCTGGGTCCGTGCACTTGAACCAGGGGCCAGAATTCCCTCCCACCTCAGTGGCACTAAGGCCCAGATCCCTGTGCCGCATGAGGCCAACAAGGTTGCTTGCACTTTATCTTCCCACGAACCCAAAAAAGACGGCAGGAAGCCGGCAGGGCTCGCCTCTGACTTAGGGCTGCAGCTGATCTGTCTGTTCTCCTTCATGCCCATATGTAACAGCACACGCTGCCCAGTAACAGAAAGGTCCAGAAACTGAAGACAGAGAAATAAAGGGAACGGGCCCCGCTCCGGGGAGGCGTGGCTGGACCTGGCCCGCAGGTCCCTGCGGAGGTGAGGCGGGCACCAGGGCAACAGCAAGCCTTCAGCCCTGAACTGGCAGCAAGGGCCAGAGGACAAGAACCAGCGTGGGGCCGGTGGGCTGTCGAGGGCGGTGGGCAGAGCATGCTCCAGGAGCCACTCTACAAATGGTGTTTCCCTGGCAAGCCCGGGGCCAGCATGAGGTCTGGCACAAGTGGCGGATCGTCCTGCCAAGGCCAGGACCTCAAGCCAGCCTAGCGACTGGTGATGGCAGGAGGCAGGCTGGAGTCTCACAGACCCCAAATGAAAAGCAGAGTGCTTGGCAGAGAAACCCTTCCTTAAGTCTTCTCCTAATTTTGGAGAAAAATAAGAGAGTGAGTGTGGGTGTGAACTGGAAGAGCCCACCCTCCTCTGCCGAGCCTCCACCCTCGGGGTGTGGCCTTCACTTGGGCCACTGGACACAAGACGGACGCCCCCCACTCCGCCCCGTGGCCCCCACTACTCTCCCACCAACAGTGCCAGGCCGACAGTCGCGAACTTTAACACAGACGACGCTGACGCTAGGACTGACCGAGCAGGGAAGAACTGTCAGGCAATCATTACAAGTATGTTCAAAGACGCACAGGAAAAGGTAGAAGAGGTGAACAGAGATTTGTCAGCAAAGAAGTACAAAGCATAAAAAAGAAATAGGAACCCTAGGTCTGAGAACTATAATATCTGAAATAAAACTTAACACTAAAAATGGTTTAACAACAGAATGCGTTAAGACAGGAGAACGTCCGGGGAAACTGGATGGCGCCCAGCTGAAGCGGGCCAGAGTGTGAGAGTGCAGTGGCCCGTGAGAATGCCGAGGTCCGTGGGCACGGCCACCGTCTGAGGCCTGAAGCGAGCATCCCCCGGGCCTGAGTGAGGAGACGGGCAAAACGGGGTAAAAAATATACTGCATGAAACAGCAGCCTGAAATTTTCCCAGTGTGATTAAAAGTCTGAAATCTCTAAATTCAGTAAGTTCACGAAGTCCCAGCATAAAATACACAGGACATCACACCCAGGCACCTAAGACTTTAGTTATTAAAAAATCTAAGCTCCTAAACAACATAGCTGTCAACTCGGGACCGCAGACCCGGGCAAACCTGCCACTATGTGGGATGAAGGTGCATGTTCCCGCCACCCACAGCCCAGGAGGTGCGCGAGAGGCCCGCGGACCTGGGCTCACAGGAGCGTGTGAGGGGCGGACACGGTCTGGACAGACCCGCCGGCTTAGGAAAAGGCCCTGCCAACACACAGAGCACGGTTACGAGGTGTGTGTCCCCACAGCAGGGCCACAGATGGAGGCAAGTGACGCACGAGCCCCGACGGCAGGGGACGCGGCCGTGACCGCAGAGCCCCCTCCCCACGGGGACAAGAGCCGCGCGAGACGGACAGGTGGGCACAGGCCGCAGGGCCCATGCCGCCACCCTGGCACGCAGTCAGCACCTGCCGCAGGCCCTGCAGACGGCACAGCCAGCAGGCCAGAGAGAGCCCAGCCCCGGCTGACCTCCCTCCTGGGGTCAGGGCCAGTGACCCCTCACCTCAGCCAGGACTGTGCCCCCGACCTGGAACACCTCAGCTGCATCCATGGGAGTTACCCAGCTAACTCCCTCAGAGGCGAGGAGAACAGAATCCCCTCTGACCACGCATCTCAGCTGAATAAACGCAGGAAACACTAAGCGCATCCCGTGTTACCATGGAAATCAACGGGAATCTTGGAAACATAAATCTGTTTTCAGAAGTTATGTGACACTCCTCTCCTTGGGCCCCCTCCAGCAGGAAGTCCAGAAACACAGACACAGGGGCTGCCCTCCTGGGCAGCTGAGACCCAGCTGCTGTGGATAAGCACAAGCGCCCTCGCGGCTCAGTTAAGAGTCTGCCTGCAGTGTGGGAGACCCGGGTCAGATCCCTGGGTGGGAAAGATCCCCTGGAGAAGGAAATGGCACCCCACTCCAGTACCCTTGCCTGGGGAGTCCCATGGGTCGCAGAGTCAGACACGACTCAGTTCAGTTCAGTTCAGTCGCTCAGTTGTGTCCGATTCTTTGCGGCCCCATGAATTGCAGCACACCAGGGTTCCCTGTCCATCGCCAACTCCCAGAGTTTACTCAAACCCATGTCCATCGAGTTGGTGATGCCATCCGGCCATCTAATCCTCTGTTGTCCCCTTCTCCTCCTGCCCCCAATCCCTCCCAGCATCAGGGTCTTTTCCAATGAGTCAACTCCTCGCAGGAGGTGGCCAAAGCTTCCCTGGACACCACAGCTCAAAAGCATCAATTCTTCGGCGCTCAGCTTTCTTCACAGTCCAACTCTCACATCCATACATGACCATTGGAAAAACCATAGCCTTGAATAGACGGACCTTTGTTGGCAAGTAATGTCTCTGC